CTTAATAATTGGCTGAAAAAAAGCCGTTTTGCCCAAAAATATTTTTTCTTTTTTTCATATCATCAAAACTAAAAGCGGCAAATAACTTTAGCGCCCAAATAAAGATGCACATTGGCGTGTAGAATGCACTAAAAATTGAGACGGTGTACGGCATCATTGAGGTTTGAGGCTGCTGAGTTCAGGGATTTTGGTGTGATTCTTGATGGTAGGTGGATAGGTTTCAGGTTAAAATTTGGTTCAATTTTAATTTTGAAACAATCCTGATGGGTTTCTGGTGTCTGGTCTAAGACTGCTTCGCCAGATTCTTGAAAGTATATTGTTGTGTTTGTGATTCTTATAACCATTTTTACTATTAGATTTTTCAGGGTAGGTTGCTTCGCTGTTAGAGCTCTGTGGTGTAGGTTTAGCTGTTCCTTGATTCTAAGAAGGTTTCCTGAAAGTTTTTCTCTGGTTTTCATGCAGAGGCAGGATTCTGGTTTGTGTGTATTATTGGCGTATCGTAAAGTGTCGGCTGAAAAAATGACGTATGGAAATTCTGGATCGTATTTTCCGTATGCCAAGATTGGCTTTCCATCTTCTCCTATGGGTTTGTTGTCTGTAGAGGTTTTTATTTTTACTGTGGCGGAACCCCCTACTTTACCAAAGTAAAGTCTGAGTTTGGAGTATATTTCGACTGAGTTCGTGCTGTACAGCTTTACAACATCTGTGCAAGTGCTGCATGTGCTTGTGTCTTGGTTGGGGATATTGTAAAGTATCTTGTTGTCGTCAATTTTTAAAAATCCGTTCTCTTCTTGGTAGAATTCTATTTTTTCCATTTCGGTCAGTGTAGAGATGTAGGCGTTGAAGCTGGCGAGGATGACATCCTCGTTGATTGTGATCTTGCAGAGCCTCTGAGGGGGGAAGAAGAAGGTGGTGGCTTCGGTAATTCTAGGTATGTTGTTGTCCATGGGGAAATAGTTGTTGTTTGGCTCTTGGCTTTCTACCCCCTGTAGGAGAAGGAACCATAAAAGCATTCTCGAGTCCTAAATGTTTGTTTAATAAGGTTAATAAGTGTGTGTTTTGTGTCCTCACCTCTACTAAAAAAAATCAAGGTTATTTAAGGTCATAAGGTATTAGGTGATATAATTTATTTTTATTTGTTGAAAGCAAGGTTTTTGCTATGTAGTGGCAAACTGAATAGATGTATTCAAGGGAGGTTTTAAAAATTAAGTCCCCCCTTTGAGAGTAATTCGTGTTTTATTGAAGATTCGTTAAAATGGTCTAGTTATGCTTTTTTACGTAAACCTTGTCAATAAATGATTAAATATAAATGATTGAATAACTACGCAATAAGGAAGGGTGGAGAACTTTATCCGGTTTTATAAACCCAGGTGGTCTTAACACCGACATTTTTAATTATTGGTTCCACGTGATACAGCACAATTTAGTAGTCGCCATGATTGAGTTAAACCTAAATTAAAAATTTTTTATCATAAATTTCAGTTATATGTTTCTGCTTTAAATTTTAAATCATATATATTTATAAATCTGTGTGCATCATACAGTATACATACATGCTTGTATTTTATACCTATATACACGCGCGAACACATACATATACACACTTATGCAATTTACACAATTATACGTTAGTATGTGTTATCAATATAACATAGATGATATAGAATAGGATAATGTTTATTGTATCTTTGAATTTTGTTTATGTTAATAGATGGTTATCATTTATATCCAAGTTTTTAATTTTTTTTTTTTTTTAATGTTTTTGAAGAGTCAATTAAAGATTTATGCTTTTAACAGGAGATAAAATAGATGAAAAAAATTGGAAAATAAAAATAAAAATTCGGAGCGAAATGATGAACCATAAGGTTGTGATTTTCTAAAAATATAGAAAATGTTTTATACATATCAGGTAAATGTTTTTTTTGAAAAATGTTTTCTCTTAAAAACTGCATTCACGTAAAACAAGTAAATTTACACGTTAGATCAAAATATGGTATATATTTTTTTGTACTGTTTAATTATAAGACTTATTATCAAAGAGCTATTGAGAAAAATGATTTTAAGTTGTAATATGTAACTTCCATTTTTTATATATTTTTTATTCTTGAAGAAAGGTCGAATAAGAGGATTTTCGAGGTTAAGTCATACCAGTAATACATTACTTCTGCTAACAGCATGTACTGACAAGCTTACAGTTTATATATTGTAATGCTTAATTTAATAACTTTTTAAATTTTGGGTTTTTGGAGATTTTAAAAGATAAATGTTTATAGCATTGATGAAATCAGTTTCTGAACCATGGATGAAAGAAAATAATGGATTGGTATAAAAAAGTGATAATTTTCAGATATCTAAATGGACCCAGCAGATTTTAATGATGTCCCAGTTCCACCTGTCTTTTCTGCGCCGGTCCCACCGGTCCTTCCTGATACAGATGTAGAGGTTGCAGAGGGGGACATCGACAATACCCAGTTTGTGACCGATCTCGTCTCGAGTCAAGTACATGGCTGGATGGTGTGTATAAATTATTATTTTATTCAAAAATAAAAGAAAAGAAAATTCATGCAGAAATTTTTGTGTTTAAAGATTGATACAAATTTTTTTTAGAAATAAAACTGATACTGGATTAATTGCATTTACGATTTTTTATTTTTTTATTTAGCCTGTTCTTGGGTTTACCCTGTGGGGGATATCCTTTCTCAGTTGGATATTGGTGTTCGTTGGACTTTGGATTAGCAAAAAGATGGTGAGATACTGTCAACGCCGCCGGAGTCTTGGAAGAGCTAATCCTGACCTGGCTTTGAGGACTGTAAACATTGGATCAAGAAAACGAGAGACTGCAGGGACTGGATCTTCAGCAGTTGCTGGACCGTCATCACCAACGGTTAGAGTATCTGGTCGAGTAGACGAATATCCATTTGGTCCAGACAGTGAAAAATCGTCCATTGCCGGAGGGCCTGTCCTTCGAACTCGTCTGCAGACTGCTCGTAGGTTGAGCTCCGGTTGGGATGATGAACCCAATCGTCAGGATGTGAATGGTATTGTCATTGGTTTGAAAGCTACTGCCAACACCACCTCCGAGCGGACCCTAAGATCTGCCAAAGCATCAAATGACAGTTTCAAACGATTGTATTAACAATGAAGAAATTGTCCTACTATCACGTTTTTTTATATTTTCCATTGAGCCATAACCAAAATAAAATATAACCAAAATGATATGATTGGCTTTGATAATTTATATATATATGTCGGAAATAGAAAAATTCTGGTGTGTTCTAAGTGGATAGAAACAAAGTTTTATGTTTCTATATGTCGGACAGTATTTAACGCGACACCGTCTATATATATGTGTAAAGTGGGAAGGTGTATAATCTTGAGCAGAAGTGTGTGTGGTGACATTCTAATTTAATGACGTCACATATATAACATGTTTCTTCATGTTCTTACTGTTTGTTTGTTAACCGTCTTGCCTGTATGATGTTATGATTGTAAAACGGTCAGGACTCGGGAAAGGTTGATAAAAGATTGAAAACTCAAGAGTTTGGATTTGATAAAATATTTCCATTTTCATTAAATTTTTTCAAATTTTTTGAAATATTTTGCAAAATCTGTGAATATTATTTGTTTGTATTTGTTATTACGAAGAGGAAAATTATCGCAATGAGAAGAATGGCGCGAAGCGCCATGAACTTTAGTTAGGCTTCTTCTATTTTTAGTTTAAGAGTTTAGAGATTTGATGTTTATTTCCTTTATTCTTCATACAAATTTAGGTTGTATTTCATTTTAAAAAATTGTATAAGCCTAATATAAAATTTGCACGCNTGTCAACGTTAGGGTTAACCAAAACATATAACGAAAGATTTAAATTAACATCTTTTGTTTTTGGAAAAGATTTAAAGATTTCGATAAGGAAAAAACTCATTTAATTATCGTTTTTCTAGGTATGGGCAGATTTAGACCAACTTTTCTTGATTTTCAAACCCTGGGCTGTCTATTTTCGTCGTTAATAGCTCAGTTGTTTAAAGTATGTCTTACAACGTCCCCATACCTAGAAATCTAAGTGAACGGTATCAATCTTCAATTGAAGCTGCTATGAGTGCGACACCCCTTGCATCAAATACTGTCAAGATAAATAAATATCTTGTGAGGTAATTCGGTCGGAACATTATTTCGTTTTAAGTATACCTAAAAGAATTTATATATTAATTTTTTGTCTCATAGCAAGGGTGAGGCTGGTCAAGATGCTATCGACGCTGTTCGTCTTAGTGAAATTGCAGTCCTAAAAAATGAAGTTCAGTAAGTTTAAAAAATAGTAACAAATATTTTAAAATCGTGTAAGAGTTGGGCTTGGAGCGCCTTACCGCTATGGTACACTATGTGTGAAGTTTTATGTTGTTCTTTGTTAAGAAAAATATACTTTTCATATTGTTAGACTCTGGAAATCGAGGTACTAGGAGATTGTTTTGGCGCGGAAGGACTAACAAGTAAAGTCTAAGGGTGTTTTCGTACTTGCAGGTCTGGAGTACAATTCTATTTCCTTAGTAATAGAACGCCTAGATTCCGACAAAGTCATAAGGGATATGGACCACTACTGCAACAGCGACGACGAAATCACGCGCCTGAAGTCGGCCATTGCCAGTATGGAGGATACTCAAATTGTCTTTATAAGAGGTGTAGGAAGATATATATGAATAAGTTAATTCAAAAGATTACATCATTTAAAATCTTAAAAAAAAAAGAAATATTTGTGTTTTAGGCATACAGATCATCTACAATGCTCTTCTGGCTGTCCGGGCGATTGTCTTTTAGGGATACCATGTCGTGTATTAGAAAATTTTTAATTCATTAAATTATTTCTAATATAGTTTTTTATTCTACATTTGTAAATCAACTTTTTAGACTACTTTGTAATGTTAGTGGGCTGGAAAAGTCGGGATTCAGAAGGCTTATGTTGGGGAGTTTTTTAGAAAGTGTACACTCTCTCAGTATTCATTAAAACGCAATTCAGTTAAAAATTTAAGAATCGTGAATAAAAGGTAATTTCATTTTATAGATATAATTAAGCACTTTGTATAAGTTAGGTTCCTTTTTACAGTTTATAGTGTTGAGTATAAAAGAATACATGTTATATTATATACATATGAGTACGATAATAAGTTTGCAGCGAGCAGCTGATTTTATATATACAGGAAAAATCTGATAGTATAAGAGAATACGGGTTTTACATACAAACAAATTATACAAATATTTTTATAGTTGAGAATTTTTTATTTTTGCGTAGCCCTGTTACCATGGTGCTTTTTTTTATCCGTTGGGGCTCGACAGACATTTTATGTCCTCCACCCTAGGTAAAAGCCAATATAGTTATATAATCAATGTTATGAGGTGTGTGAATCTGTAATTAAGCAGCGCTCAAAAAGATTTTTACCAATTGTTGAACCCGCAGTGAAACCTGTCAAGGTTTTCGAAGGTTGTGGACCGTAAATCTGCAGATTTCTGAGGTCGGAGTCAGGATATACTGACTGTTGTAACTAGCTATCTTTCAAGCTGTAATTAGTACATTTTTGCTACGTACAGAGATACTGTTCAATAAAAATCTGGTTGTATTTTTATTGTTGTAAAAAGTACTGTTTTTTATCTATATATATAGCTAGGTTTAATGGCGTCGTATAGGTTGGAGTACATTTTTGCTACGTACTATTATTATACTTTTTTTTTCTGTTTTAGGTAAATACGTTGTATAGCATGAATCTTCCGAATTCTTGGTGTACTTTTAATTGCAGTTTCTTCATTCTGAAGGTATTTATTTAAGGATATAAATTTTATTTGTTGAAGCTGATTAATCCCCAAAATCGTTAGTATCGTAAAATCTATTCAATTAAATTATTTTTTGTTATTTCTGATTGTTCTTGCAATTCTACTGGGAAGGTTTCTGAGAGATTTAATGATTGAATTAGTAGGTTTTATTTTATCTAGTTTGTCGTTAACATTTGTATGATTATTAATTGGGATATTCTTTGAAGACGGATCGTTATCTAAGGATACAGATGATTCTGAATAAAACTCATCCTTCAAACTAACACTATCCTTCTTTTTAAGGTCTACTGGCTGGGCGGTTACAGAATCTGCTTTAGACAAGTTTTCTGAATCCTGTAGTGATTCATGGTCAGAATTTTGAGGTGAATATGTTTGCTTCATTTTACTCATTAGTTCCACTAGTTTATTTCTGGATCCGTAGTTATGGGGGTCAAAATTATCTCCCATTATATCTTTCAGTTCTTTCGTTAACTCCTCAAATAAGGGTCCCCTGGCTCTATATTTTTNCCCCGGTTTTCAGGGTAAATATCAGTGGTAGCTCAACCCCATAATTTAAAATATCTAAGGTGGCATTTCCATGGCCTGCAAAAAGTTTGTTATGCAAGAATCTGGTGCAAACAAATTTGTTCAATTTTTCAAAAGTTGTTAATAAATGAAGCGGTAAAATAGAAACTGGCGCTCCTGTATCAAGGATTAGGCTAATTTTTTCATTTCCTAACTCAGGGTATGTTAAAGGCACAGAGTTAAGTATTGAAAATGGGATTCTGTTTTCATCCTCTCTTACTTGACTTATTTTCTTTATTTGTAAAATTTCCGAAGTTATACGTTTAGATTTCCTAAAAACATGTAAGCGCAAAGATCTATTTAATCTAGAATTTTTCTCGATTAGATTTATGTTTGCATTTCTTAAATATGAGTTGTTTAAAAGAGAACGTTTGAAATAGAATCTGGGAAAAATATACTCTTTTAAACATTCTAATTTATTGAGAATTAACTTTTTAGGTCTGTTTCTTACTTTGGGTACCCAAGACGGGTAGATGAAGTGTAGATTAGGGAGGTTTTCTAATAGTTCAATACCTATATTAATAACTGCGCCTATTGAAATGATTAAACTATTAATGAAAGCCGGTTCATAAAATCCTAACAAGATTTGAATAGTCAAGGATAGGATAAAAGTAAAGTAGGTTACTCCTGTCGTAATGACTGAAGATAATAAAAAGAAGCTTAAGATAAAAAATATTGATTCGAGGTTTGAGTGTGATCTTATGTATTTAGGTTCAAGGTTTGCATTTATAATATTTATTTCTGGTATTTTTATTTTATTCTGTTTTACTCTTTTTGATTGGAGCTACTTTTTTCTGGTTTTACTTTTTTGTTTAGAAGAGAAATAATTTTCCATTTTTTCAGTTATACTCCACTCTGGGACCTGGGGAAGAGACAAGTCTAGATCTGGAATAAAAGATACTGCAGAGAGATCGGAAAGAGAATCCGACATGCTAGCTACGGCAGAACTATCCAGCAGTGGGTCTGTAATAGAAGGATCAGGCTCGTTCCAGGTAGAGTTGCTAGAAATATTAAGAAGGGATCTATCACCTTTGGTTTTAATTTCTATATTATCTGGCGATATTCTTTTAATAGTCTTTTTAAGATTGTCAGATTTCTTTTTTAGATACTTTATTTTATTTTGTAGATTACTAGTGCTCGCTGCCTTATATAAAGTACTATTATTCGTATTTATATCATTAGGTTCATTAGTTTTACAAGTAGAATTAAAGTCAGCTGAGTTAAGGTTAGGTTTAGGATAAATCGATTTGGGATTAATGGTAATGTTAGGATCAACAAGGTTTGGATACTCAGGTTTAGGAATTATAACTCTCTGGATCTGGCCAACGGATACAGAGGAAGGATCTCATGGGTTAAATTGATCCAAAACTTGATTAAACAAATCTCTAATGAGATTTACATTTTGACTGTTTTGACCCCTCAAGTTGGGATTAGGGAAAGGGGGGGGTTGGCCTGAGGGTTGTGGGATGGGTGGCCCGGGCGCAGGTTGCCTGGGCCAGTTGGGGGGAGGACCAGTTGGGTTAGGATTGAAGGTGTTGGGCCTGTGCCCTTGCTTGGACCCGCCATAACCCCCTGGGGGATTATTTCCCCCCCACCTCCCCACCATAGTGCATGAAGCTTGACTATGATTACCATGTATACTGCAAGCTACGGCCTGTTGAGTTCTACACTTACTATTAGTATGGAAGGCTGGGACGTGTACAGAGCAGGATTGATCAGTGTAAGGTAGAGAAGGATCTATAGGAATAGGAGCCCTGGGGCGGGTTTGGCTAGATTGAAAATTAGTTGGTTTCTTTTGTTTACAATCCCTGGCTAAATGACCCGGGTTCCCACAGGTGAAACACAGACCCTGACTGATATCCGATTTGTCTGGCACACCAAATATTCTTTTTATTGCAATTTGGACAGCGTCAAGGTCTGATATACCACTGGCGATCCCTGGTCCGTTAGACACGGAGTTATTTACAACAATGGTTCTGATTTTTTTCTTATCGTGTATCTCTTTAAGGGTTTCGGAAAAATATTCATTTAGGATTCTTAGAAGATCTCTGAAATGTCGCCCTGGAGCATTATTGAAATGAGCCAGTACGCTATTCCAAAGATTTTCCCCCCCCAAAGTCTTCAAATATCTGCGTGTTTCTCTGATAGCTGTTTGATCCATGTCAGTCTGGGAACTTGCCGATTTAAGTAAAATTTGGTTCATTTTTGTTAGTACTTCTATTGGGGGCAAGTTCTCAACATTTTTCATAACTATTTCAATTTGGACTTGGAGTTCGTCAAGACTTTTCCTACTACCGTGTATGGTNATACAAATATTTTTATAGTTGAGAATTTTTTATTTTTGCGTAGCCCTGTTACCATGGTGCTTTTTTTTATCCGTTGGGGCTCGACAGACATTTTATGTCCTCCACCCTAGGTAAAAGCCAATATAGTTATATAATCAATGTTATGAGGTGTGTGAATCTGTAATTAAGCAGCGCTCAAAAAGATTTTTACCAATTGTTGAACCCGCAGTGAAACCTGTCAAGGTTTTCGAAGGTTGTGGACCGTAAATCTGCAGATTTCTGAGGTCGGAGTCAGGATATACTGACTGTTACTAGCAATCTTTCAAGCCGTAATTAGTACATTTTTGCTACGTACAGAAATACTGTTCGATAAAAAATCTGGTTGTATTTTTATCGTTGTAAAAAGTATTGTTTTTAGCTATATATAGCTAGGTTTAATGGCGTCGTATAGGTTGGAGTACATTTTTGCTACGTACTATTATTACACTTTTTTTTCTGTTTTAGGTAAATACGTTGTATAGCATGAATCTTCCGAATTCTATGTGTACTTTTAATTGCAGTTTCTTCATTCTGAAGGTATTTATTTAAGGATATAAATTTTATAGGATCAACAAGGTTTGGATACTCAGGTTTAGGAATTATAACTCTCTGGATCTGGCCAACGGATACAGAGGAAGGATCTCATGGGTTAAATTGATCCAAAACTTGATTAAACAAATCTCTAATGAGATTTACATTTTGACTGTTTTGACCCCTCAAGTTGGGATTAGGGAAAGGGGGGGGTTGGCCTGAGGGTTGTGGGATGGGTGGCCCGGGCGCAGGTTGCCTGGGCCAGTTGGGGGGAGGACCAGTTGGGTTAGGATTGAAGGTGTTGGGCCTGTGCCCTTGCTTGGACCCGCCATAACCCCCTGGGGGATTATTTCCCCCCCACCTCCCCACCATAGTGCATGAAGCTTGACTATGATTACCATGTATACTGCAAGCTACGGCCTGTTGAGTTCTACACTTACTATTAGTATGGAAGGCTGGGACGTGTACAGAGCAGGATTGATCAGTGTAAGGTAGAGAAGGATCTATAGGAATAGGAGCCCTGGGGCGGGTTTGGCTAGATTGAAAATTAGTTGGTTTCTTTTGTTTACAATCCCTGGCTAAATGACCCGGGTTCCCACAGGTGAAACACAGACCCTGACTGATATCCGATTTGTCTGGCACACCAAATATTCTTTTTATTGCAATTTGGACAGCGTCAAGGTCTGATATACCACTGGCGATCCCTGGTCCGTTAGACACGGAGTTATTTACAACAATGGTTCTGATTTTTTTCTTATCGTGTATCTCTTTAAGGGTTTCGGAAAAATATTCATTTAGGATTCTTAGAAGATCTCTGAAATGTCGCCCTGGAGCATTATTGAAATGAGCCAGTACGCTATTCCAAAGATTTTCCCCCCCCAAAGTCTTCAAATATCTGCGTGTTTCTCTGATAGCTGTTTGATCCATGTCAGTCTGGGAACTTGCCGATTTAAGTAAAATTTGGTTCATTTTTGTTAGTACTTCTATTGGGGGCAAGTTCTCAACATTTTTCATAACTATTTCAATTTGGACTTGGAGTTCATCAAGACTTTTCCTACTACCGTGTATGGTTTGCAAGTTATTATAAACTTCTTTTAAAGAAGCTTTCCTAAATGTCAACTGTTCCATAGTGAGGAGACAGTCGACTGGTAAGACTATATAAAGTGCTTTAAGAGCTTCCGACTCAGAAATGGGGGTTCTTAACCCCCCTAGAAAACCGTTGAAGTAAGTTAAAGAACTTTCCAATGATTCGACACCCCTGGCATCCTTTCTATGTCCACGAAGGATATCAAGGTCTTTACCCGAGAGACCCCCCTCCCCCTGAGAAAATACTGGTTTTACATATGTAATAGGACTCTCAAGTTTTAGCTCAGCTGCGGCTGTTTCGACCATCCTGGAGACTTTTTCAAGGTCTAGAGTATGGTTGATTCCTGGCTGAGCCAAAGTGTCTGGAACCATCCTACCCTCATAAAGATCTTGGACTTCAGTTGCTGATATTATAGTGATGAGTTTATCACTAATCTTGTCGAGAAACGAACGAGGGAGCAGAGGCAGCTCCCTTGCTAGTTTCTCAATCTTAACCTGTCTATTCTGAGATTCCAATGGAAAATTAGTCTCCATCTTGATATTTCACAGTAATTAGGGAGCAAAAGTGTTTTTTAAGAGCCAAATTTACAAAACTAAGGTCGTAAAATGTACTGGGTTGGTGGGAAAAATTTATTATTTAGCTTCAAAATATCAATTTATCAGAAAATAATTTCTGCGGTGCAAACCTTGTTTATGCGATATACATACACTATATTTTATACTAGAAATATTAGCCGCAAAAAAAACGTTATTTGTATATAAAATGCTCACCCTTGAAGTTTTTTAGGTCGGGACAGAGAAACTATCAACAGGATATATGAACACTGATCTGCTGAGACACAAAGGCGACAGGCGTAGCTGTAACAACAGAGTTCTAGAAAGAGGTAAGTTATAAAAACTAAAGTGGGATTTTTTAATTGTTTTAGGTAGAGTTGAAGGTACGGGTAATCAATCCGGCCTCCACCATTTATTAAAGAAATAAACGGGTAGAGGACTTTTTCTTTAATATTTATTGAAATGGTTAAAGATTTAATTATTGATATTTTAGGAGATGATTCTGGAATTTGGACAGGTGTCGGGCGGGGGATATGGACCACCAGTTAGAATAGAGTTTGGAATCACCATGGAGGCTTATACTCGCAATCCGTGAATATCCTGCAGTAAACAAGATTAGGATGCGAATCCTGGGTCGGACAGATGATATGAGTGGGATTAGGACCACCAGTTAGGAGAAAGTTGGAATCGCCATGGGGGTCAAGCCTGCAAATTCCTAAATAGTATGGGTAGGATGTGAATCCTAGGTGGACTAATAGCAGGCCTTATTCCTGTTATATCGAGGCCGGAGCCTATTAATAAATGTTTAATAAATTGTCTTATTTTATTGAGCCTAAGTTCGTGGTCCGATGATTTGGACTCCAGAGAGGTGTGTCTGTCTCCGGACTGTTCCTAGGACTGCCTGCAAATATGTATGTTCTATAGTTTCTAAACCATGTCTGCCCTGTGACCTGGATTTTAAAGCNATACAGATGATTCTTTTTTATCCCTATATCTTCCCACTTCAACAGTGGAGATCTCAGACATTTCAAACTATGAGTTATTCTAGATTAAATAATAATAGTTCCAAATATCGAAGTTTGTCACCATCATATCGCAAAGATATAGTGATTTGAAAACCGAACCCATGGCCAAACTCAATTCTTTATAAGAAGAAAAATAGTTTTCTTTAATTCACATAATTGTTAATCAGACTTGGATAATTTTGTCGTTCCATCATAAGGTTAGTTAGGTGGGTAGGTTGGTTAGGTTGAGAATTTCTTACAAAGTTGAGCAAACCCCTTCTGGTTATGATAATCAATATAGTCGGAGTTAATACAAGCAGCAAAATGGTCATGGACAAGCTTGATATTAGGATAATGATGAGATGATTTTCTGGGTTTCTTGTATGCAAATCAGACAGTACGTTAGCTATGGTTTCTTTTCTGGTTGTTGTTATGATGTAATCTGATTTGGAGGGTTTGATAAGTTCTGATGCTTCATGAAGAGTGTTTGTGAATGAATTGAGACGGTGTACGGCATCATTGAGGTTTGAGGCTGCTGAGTTCAGGGATTTTGGTGTGATTCTTGATGGTAGGTGGATAGGTTT